AGATGCTCTATAGTTCATATTGATGGATCATTTTTTTCTATGTAATCCCAAATTTATCTCACATATGTTTGTATATTTGTTATTATAAACTATTAATGAAATGCAGGGAAAAAATATAGAAAATAATGACATATTAAGGTTTGTCAATTAATATCTCACCACCCATAAAAAATTTACATCTATTATTAATCAATGTTTTATCTATACATTTAATATTATTAAACAACTAAATATTAATAATTATAACTATTTATAAACATTGTCTGTAATATTTTAATTATATATAGCCCCACACACAAAAAATGAAATGTAATTTGCTATTTAATATGACAAGACACAATATTTATTAAAAGTCTGTTATTAATATGAATTAAAATAGTGATTAATACACATACATATATCATTATATACGATTTACAATAATTGCATTAAATATAGCTAAATATTAATTCTAACTATTTAATATTATGTATAATATTTTACTGCTGAACTATACATTATGTAGCCCAACAAACAAAAAATATATAATTAAAAAATATATATATATAAAATAATATTTTTTTAAAAATATGAAAAATATATACATTTATAATTCCATTGTAAAAAATAGAAAAAAAAATAATTAAATGAAAAAAAAGTCATTTTTACATTTAATATGCAACAATATACATTCTTCATTAATCATCATAACATTAGACCTTGAGAGGTGACCTACTCGTTGGCCTCGAAGACTTTGGCTTCCGTGCCTCCTGCCTTCGATGAGAACTCGCTCCTCTTCCTCAGTCTGGAGGGCGGCCGGTACGGGCCGATCTGTCCGAGGTCACCAATCTCTTTCCTGACGCTCTCCACGCCCTGAAAACAATAAGAGCTGAAACTACTGATCCATTCAGTTCATTTATATGCCACTTTCACAGCATACACGCAAGACATATGTGAGCCTGCAGCACAAAAGCAGTGTTAAGTCGCTGGGGGATATTTGTAGCAATAGCCAACAATACATTGTATGGGTCACAATTATACATTTCTCTTTTATGCCAAAAATCATTAGGATATTAAGTAAAGATCATGTTTTCCTGACGCTCTCCACGCCCTGAAAACAACAAGAGCTGAAACTACTGATCCATTCAGTTCATTTATATGCCACTTTCACAGCATACACGCAAGACATATGTGAGCCTGCAGCACAGAAGCAGTGTTGAGTCGCTGGGGGATATTTGTAGCAATAGCCAACAATACATTGTATGGGTCACAATTATACATTTCTCTTTTATGCCAAAAATCATTAGGATATTAAGTAAAGATCATGTTCCATGAAGATATTTTGTAAATTTCCTACCGTAAATATATCAAAACTTAATGTTTGATTAGTAATATGCATTGCTAAGAACTTCATTTGGACAACTTTAAAGATGATTTTCTCAATATTTCGATTTTTTTGCACCCTCAGATTCCAGATTTTCAAATATTGTCCGATCCTAACAAACCATACATCAATGGAAAGCTTATTTATTCAGATGATGCATAAATCTCACTTTAAAAAAATGTACACTTAAGACTGGTTTTGTGGTCCGGGGTCACATATAATTCATCACTTATGATATAAACAGCATGTCTTTGATTTGAAGACTCAATATCATGATAAGGACCTGCGATATCGCCCGAAAGGCTCCGGTCTTTCCCAGTTTTTCTCCACCTTTAAACACCGTCTCTGCCGACTGTTTGGCCGCTTCCTCCACGCCTTCTTTGATTTTCTTTCCGATGTCCGAACGGCCGACCTCTCCCAAACCCTGAGGAGAAAATCAGCATGAATCACCTCCTAAAATATTTTATGCACGTATTATAAATATAATGCTTTGCAGAATGTTACAATAGCGTAATAACACATTGATGACAACAACATTGATCAGTTTTGAAAAATCACTGCAGTTTAAACATTTTAGAGATATCACCATACTTCCCCAGTTGATTGATTATATTAACAATTTCTTTTTTGAAATATTATGTTTAAATATGTACACGAGGCATTACCTAATTAAATATGAAACTAATTTGAAAACATTTCCAGCACAGAAATCTGTAAAGCCGGGTTCAAAATTTGTGTTTCATTTTTGTTGACTTATTAGAGTCAAAGTTTTTTATCACTCCATAGATCAGAAATGAAAAAACACCACAGTAACAACCTTCAGAATACAGTTGGGAATAAAACTGTTACATTTTGTGCATTTAAGTGCCACTGAATTTGAGAGAGAAAAAAACTCATTTTGAGGAAATGGACTTTTAAGATATGTTCTGCAATTGAAATCTACAGACGCAAACAGATAAAGTGCAATAAAATTCAAAACAATTACAAAAAGTGTCAGTATTTTGCAAAATAGACCAATTCTCAAAATTGACCCAGGGTTACTAATTAAAATAATGCTACTCAAAATAAAAGTAAATTGAAATAAATCTTCAATATAAAAATATTTTTATTTTTCGCTAGCTGTCAAGGGAAAATAATTCTCATTTTAATCGTTTAACTTGATATACTAAAATAACTAAAACTGAAATGAATAAAAAACTTAAAATGACTTAAAATTGAACTAAAATTAAAATGGAAAATATTAAAATACAAACCGGTTTAAATATTAATAAAACTATAATAGTATCTCAGTGATACAAAAAAAAACCAAACAAACACTGACTTGACCATTGAGTGCATGAAAAAACTATTGAGTGCATGAAAAATATATATATTTTTGCCTGTTTCCACATAAAATCAGAATAATTTTGCAACGTAATCCTTCGCAGAACATGGCAATACTGCAGCGCAAACACTCTGCAGAAACATAACGGTCAGCACTTATGCAAATCGCTGCACGTCTAATGAATACATAAACATAAATGTGCTCTGAAATGAGAAAAACTGCACGTCGAGATGTGCCCAGCGTTAATTACACTCACCTCCTTCACCGTCTCTGAGATCGTCCCCAGTGTTTTCTTCAACACTTCAGAAGTTTTAACTGTTTCGGACTCGATGGTTTGCTGGAAGACACCAACAAAACAAAACAAAACAAAAAACACAATTTCACACCGCTAGTTGTCAAGGGAAAAAAATTCTCATTTTAATCGTTTGACTTGATATACTAAAATAACTAAAACTGAAATGAATAAAAAACTTAAAATGACTTAAAATTGAACTAAAATTAAAATGGAAAATATTAAAATACAAACCGGTTTAAATATTAATAAAACTATAATAGTATCTCAGTGATACAAAAAAACACAAACAAACACTGACTTGACCATTGAGTGCATGAAAAAACTATTGAGTGCATGAAAAATATATATATTTTTGCCTGTTTCCACATAAAATCAGAATAATTTTGCAACGTAATCCTTCGCAGAACATGGCAATACTGCAGCGCAAACACTCTGCAGAAACATAACGGTCAGCACTTATGCAAATCGCTGCACGTCTAATGAATACATAAACATAAATGTGCTCTGAAATGAGAAAAACTGCACGTCGAGATGTGCCCAGCGTTAATTACACTCACCTCCTTCACCGTCTCTGAGATCGTCCCCAGTGTTTTCTTCAACACTTCAGAAGTTTTAACTGTTTCGGACTCGATGGTTTGCTGGAAGACACCAACAAAACAAAACAAAACAAAAAACACAATTTCACAATGGAGAAATGATGTGTTTGGCTATTTTAGAATCACGTTAGACATGAAAAATCCGTACGTATTTCCTCCTGGCTTGCTTGAGTGCTTCCGACTCCTCTAGCTTTCTGGCCTCCTCGCGAAACTTCTGGATGTTCTCCTTCATCTCCTTGTTCTTGCTCAGTTCCTGCTTGAGATTGTCTAGAAACTCTCCCAGAAAGCCCTTCCGACCGCCAGCGGAGGACATAAACCTCGCCTGCACATCACATGCATGTGAAAAACACTGTCAAATCACACTTTTCACAAAAACCAATGACGTGCGACACTCACCTGTGCTATAGCGGCCACTGGGCCACATATCCTGTACACATGAGCTCTGTCGTATAATGATGCACACTGACGAGCGACTATAAGTGCAGAACTTCTCCTGACACACAGCTGAGGAGAAACACATGCATAATAATACAGTATGTCCACAATTATGAACTACAGTCTGGTCACAGATAAACATGCTCAGGTCCTGATGTCACTTACAAACAAGATATTACACATACATAACTCACATTTCATAAATCTGCCATGCTTCCCCAAAGGATACCTTTAGTGTTTCTATGGTACATGTCCAAAAAGCATGGTAAAAGCATGGTAAAATCATGGTAAAAGCATGGTACTTTATGATTGAGTGGTCTGAACACAATAATCAACTTCTGCTCAGTATCTTTTTGTGATTTGTACACAAGTAACGTGATTTAAGAGCTTCGTTTGTTATGTTATTGCAATATTTACATTTACATCAAAGCCAGAATCATGTTCCATAAGCATGCCTGATCAATCTAATCACATTTCTGCATTAAACACGCGCGGTTCTGGTGAGCCAAGAGCGGGCTCGTGCTGCTGTAATCGCGAACACTGTGTTTAGCTCGCACATATTAATCGTGTTGTTGATGAGCGCTTAAAAAAACGCTTCAAATGAGAAACTCACCTGGTAACACTGACACAAGGAGGCTGCCATCTTGGAAGCGCTGCGAGTGACCTGTTTGGCTGGTGACCGTGTGACGCAATTCCGGGGGAGGAGCAACGTCCGGGAGCAGCCAATGAACAGACGCCTGATCTCTGACGTCTCACGAAGTATGTTTTGAATGCTGGTTTCTTTTCATGAATCGTTTACTCAATTGTTATCTTTTATATGAACAGATATTTCTTAAAATAATTCTTATTGCTTTTACAGTTTTTTTTGTTTTTGTCAAAGATAGTAAGTTAATTAATTAATATGTCATTCCACAAATATATATTTTTAATGCTCATATAGAAATCCACTAAACACACTTTTTTTTAATATACAGGCTTATTGTTTATTCAGAAATTAAGAAATTCCCCCACAGTAATTAGCAGAGTAATACAGAATAATTTAGCATAGTTTGTCATGAGAAAACTTAACCGTAAATCATACAACCGGAAAAAGTGTAAACATTTTCCTTGCTGTCATATGATTTTATTTATTTTACTAAAACAAATGGAAATGAAGCTTAGACTCAAAAAAAAAACCCACCCATAAACCACCATAAAAAATACCGACAGCCCTAATGTTGTAATTAATACAATGATACGAAACACTTTTTCTTGTACTTTTTGGTAGTTGTAGTTGACCATCAGGCATTCTCCAAACCCCGCCCCCAAAAACTCATCAGCCAACCAGATGTCAGCAAACCTGATTTGCTAAAACAACAGTTTTACAGATTTCTCACAACACCTATTTTAGTGAAAAAACACTTTAAACACCAGGTTTAAAATCAAACTCATCGGCCGGGTTTTTAGCATGGTCGATATTCATCGTTGAGTGATTTCCGATCATAACGTTCTGCGCGTTCTCGATGTGGATGCACGACGGTTGCTGCTGCTGCAACGCGCCATGTTGCGAATGCATCGGCCCATGTGCCGGAGGTGGATGCATTGGTGCAGATGCACCACAAAACATGTTATTTTGCTGAATTTCGCTTTCTAGTCTCAGCCGCGCTAATTTTTCCTGCTCTCGTCGTAGGTCCGCTTTTATGGCGTTCTCCTCTTGTAGTCTCTTCTGTTCCTCGACTAGTTTCTTACGATGCTGTTTGGTCATCCAAATCGTCTTTTGGCTTGCCACTTTTTCCCGTGCGATGGCCTTTTGGGCGTTGCGTTCGAACATTCTGCTGCTTTCATCGAGAGGAACCTTCGTCTGAAGCACCAATGGAAAACTTTTGCGCGACAAACAGTTCTTGCGAGGTAGCAGCGGAATTACGGAGTTCATTTTGTGGTGGTTTTCCAGCGAATTCACGATCGCCGAATCGGCGCTGGTCGCGCTGAGGTTGGAGTTGAAGTTCTGGGTGAGCAGCAGCAGCGTGAATGCCGAATTCTCGATGGCGTCCTCCATACATCGCAACGTCGACTTTCCAGGTTGCTCGAATTCATCGGAAAATGTCGCGCCGACTCCACGGATGATACTCTCAAGTTTGTCCCTGAGTCTTTGCGCTTCGTCCGCGTCTTCGGCTTCGTGTAGGATCACAAAATCGTAAAAAGTTTCTTCGACGTCGCTTTGGCTCGGTTCTGGAGAGCTAACACTGCCAGGTTGAGTTGTCGGTTTGTGATCTGTAGCGTTTAGTGGCTGAGCTTGAAGTTTGTCGCCATCGTTTGGGGTGGACGAAAAATCAAGATTCGCGTTTTTGGATGTCACAAGTTGGGAGCTTCCGTTGTGGTCTAGACACTGCTTTGACTTTGTCGCGCCATTGATGTCCGCTGTCGGTAGCTGGCTCTTTGCACAAATATTAGCTGATTTATTAAGACGATGTCGTAGTTGGTCTTGACTGGTTGTAGTCTCGCTATCTGTTGGTGTTCGTAGACTCATCGGCTTTGATTGTTCCATATTGGATTCTGTAGCGGTTGCCAAGCTAATTTCGAGACTATAGCGCGAACTTGATTGCTGAGATGATGGAGGGCTTTCGTTTCCCTCTAGCGACGTCAAATTGTACGTTTCAGTAGGACGTTCGGTGTTGGATTCATTGATAATGTCAGGACCGCAGACTTGCTTTACTTCCTCCTCGATGTCTAAAGATGGCAAACCAGCCATTCTGCTCGACGCAAGAGCCTCGCGGTATGCTTGATCTCGTAGCAATTTGTCGCACAATCTCTCCTGCACCAAAACGGCGAAAACTCTGGCGATATCCAATAACGTATTGACATCTGTTGACTTAAAACCGCCAATGTGGCTACTGTTGACACGTTCTCCGTGCATTTTGACCATTTCGGCCAAGTATTTTCCAACGCTGCTGTCGCTGTTAGCCGTTAGCTTAGCGTGCGCCTCTCCAATCCTCTTCAGGAGAATCAAGCACATGGCATTCACCAATTCCTCCTCCCGCCTGCGGTCCATTTTTAATGTCAGGCTGACCCATCGTTCCTGCCCAGCCTGGGAAAGGATCTCAAATGCCTTGGCAAGATTCGCAAATCCTTGATCCATAAGCTCTACTCCACCGTCTGCCATTGTTTACGCAAGTACGGATGATCATACGTGAATATGTGCTCTCATATGACATGTTCAAGCCATTCCATTCAATCTGAAGTCACTTAGATGCGCTTGAGCTTCTGAATGCTGAAAGAAAAAGTGAAAGTTATGAGACGATTACAATATTTCCCCAGCTAACAAAAATATGAAGACTTCATTTGCAAAAACAGATAACTCTTTTATTTACTTTTATTTTCCTTTTACGCCCCGAAGAAGATTTCACAGGTTCATCAAGTTCGTTGAAATTATCCATCCTCGTTTTAGTTAAAACTCCTTTAGACGGAACTCCTCGCGCGTCTTTACGAAGTGGCTAGCAACCTTGTCACCTGACCTGAATACTGCGTGCCGATTCGCTAAACTTATTTTAGACTTATCTGGGCTGCGTTCAGCCCTGACAAAAACGGTGCAAAACGTTTTTTAAACTGAAACGGTGGTGCGTTGAACACACTGTTCTTATGACGCAAGAGTTGCAGCTATGGCAGCTGAGAAGGCCATTCTTTGTGTTCTTTTTGAAGAATTTTCAGAGCCTGATGAAATCGGTATAAATACGTGTTTAATACTACAAAATACGCTGGATGTTACAGTCACTGCCCTTGCCCTCCAGAGTAAAAGAGCACATCCCAAACGAGTGAAGGGGTTTGTGGAAACTGTGATTCCTAATTATTGTGATCCAACATTTGCCTCGCATTTCAGAATGAAAAGACGAAATATTTCAGGTGAAGGATAATCCACTTCTTACCTCCGAGACTGTGTTATGATCTATATGACCTTATTGTTTATATACATGCTGCTGCTGATTGGGCTGACATGTTTGACACACCCACCAAACAAGAGAAAACGCATCTCAAACACCGTTGCACACCGTTTCCGGGAAACATGTCGTTCAACCCGGAAACCGTAGCAAATCGTGGCGCACCGGTTTCAGCTTGAACTTGCCCCCGGTTGTGTTCACAAACAAGGGTGCTTGTCAGTTTCTACGGTAAAACGTGAACTTGCGATGCCTAGACAATGGACAAAATGTGTTTAGAGTTCAGAACGAGCTATATGTGGAGAATAACGCACGCCAGTCAGTTCATTTTTTTTTAAAAACATGGCGTTTATCGTTTTTTGCACATGAACTCTTCGTATGTTCTAATGCTAACGTTCCCATTAAGTTATTAATACGTTATTTCTGAATGTTCTCTGAACTTTCGAAACGTCCAGTTTTGCGTCCCTGGTGATACAAACGAGAAACATTACCTATTATCATCTTGCAAACATTACGGAAACGTTACTATTGGATGTTCTCTAAACGTTCAAAATATAAAAAAATGTTAAATGCTTAAAAAAAAAAAATTCCTGGTTATGTGAACTGGGAACAGTTTTATCACTTTGTAAAAAAAAAATGGGAATGTTACTTTCATGCACGTTCAAAACGTCCTTTTTAACAAATGTTTTAAAAGCGTTTTACGCAAACGTTAAGGGAACGTTCCGTTTTGGAATTTTGCGAACATTACGGAAACGTTACGTTTGAACGCTCTTTGAAGCAAGTAGCAACATTTAAAAATATCTGTTTCAGAAAACATTCTGTTTTGTTTTTGCGCGCAGGCTTTGAGAACATTATGAGCAGAACTTTCTATATTAGCACTTCTGTTCGAGAGAACCTTACAGCCTACGTTCTTCAAACCTGAGCTGGGTGCGTTGGCTCGATCATAAATGGTGTATGAATAATAAAATGGAATATTATTGATGTGTTTAATGACTCATCGACTTTTTTTTTTTCTTCAAAGAGTGAAGTCTGAAATGACTGCCAGACGTGACTTTGACCCAATAATGTATAAATACATCCTACATAATTCATATGCATTTTATAAACATGACAAAGAAGCACAAAAAACGTGTGTCTTACCTTTGTTATAGTTCTGCATTCATCCAGAAGCAGGAACTGGGACACAGAACCAGACTTTGAGACCTTCACAGAATAAACGGCGCATAAATGGACGGACTGTCAGACATAAAGCCGCAGTTTGCGGTTGTTTTGCATCTAAAGCATGAAGTGACACCTAAATGTGCCCAAGACTGAATGTTTGTCTTTTTGCTTTCTCTTGTAATGCGGAAGAAGTTCAGCTCTGTGGACTTCTGTAGGAGTTAAGGTGACCAGAAGATGGCAGTAAAAGTGGAATTCTTTTTATTTATTATTATGATTTTTAATCACTTTACTAAACCTTCAAATAACAGTCAGACAAGCATGCATTATCATCATTGCAAATTACAAACAAATTATAATCCAAGAAGTTTAGAGAGTTTTAAGGCACTCCTCGATTTATTGATTGAAACACAATTCTAAAATAATTTTTTAATTCCTCAAAACAAGGAGAAACTTAAACAAATCTACATTTATGTATATAAAACTTGGCTACAATCAACATATTATTGCATAGAAATTAAATCTCTTTGTTTTGCATAAAGACACCAAATTTAATGTGATTAAGGTTTCAAACCAATAGTAAGTCTTTCCTTTTAATATAAATATGACTCATTGTGTTTTTTATTTAAATAATTTTATACTGTTTATGCTCTGGCAATTACTTCATATTTTGCTAAGTAATTAATAAATTAACAATAGAAAATTTACCGTGACTTTTTCACGTGACGTGTGATTTTAATATCCATATTTGAAACGTAGTTTTTTTTAATTATTATTAAAAATAGTTAACATTAAGATTCAACGTTAAGAGCAACGTTTATATCATTAATTAAATAAATAAATTCATCGTTTACGTATTAACCACTTGACGTGCAATATGCACTGAAATATTTTATCTTGCTTAAAGTTAGTAAACACGTGCTAATTATATATTAATTAAAAATAAGAGATGCTTTTATTATGTAATACACCGCCAACTTTCGCGAGATTACAGCAGAGCCGAGCATGTGCGACAACGAGAGCAGGGTTTCGCGCGCTGAGTAAGTGACGCGCGGCTCGACCAATCAGCGAGCGGCTTGGAACTCCGCTCCGCCAATCAGCGGCCTGCCTTGCCTGCGGTGGGCGGGGAAACATGTTGTTGAACACTTTTATTGATTCGAGCCTCAATTTCATTGCGTTTCTTTGCGGGGTTGAACTGTAACAAAAGTGCAACGTTTTCACACTTTTAGCGCGTTTATTGAATTAAAATCACGTCTTCTATTCCCAAGAGGAAGATTACAGGTAAAGACCCGCTTTTAAAACCAGTTTCGGTTTTTATTTAAAGGTATTGTCTGTGAAACCGTGCGGACGCGCCTTATTTTACTCTAAATATTAATAAACTCGCATGTTTAATGTGTGCATGTTCATATTTATGTAATATTTAGCGCTTTTCGGTCTTTGACTTTCTGTCTTTGTCTTTGAATTTATTTTATATTGGCCAAAAACCCCGAAGTTAAGTCTAATTGTGAGGTTAATGCGATTAAATTAGTTATTAATGTCTTTTAATTCTGAAATAAACACGCGAATTTGTGCACAACAGTTCAAAACATGACCATAACCTACAAGAAAGTGTTTGGGAAGGTGTAACTTGAGGAATGTAGGAATTCTGGATGGGTTTGTTCTACATAAACTCATTATATGTAATTTAAATGATAAATGTTTTGTAATTCCACTCATTTTCAATTGGTCCTAGTTTATATTTGTCATTTAAGAGTCAAGACCACCCACATCATGACCAGCACACAACCCCTTCATTAAATTCCCGTTTGAACTGACTGATTTCTACAAGTACACCTCAGGTAGACTCGTATCTGAAGTTCAAGTCTCATTCCAGCTTCCTGTTGTTGGTTTAAAGTCGACAACATAAAGACGGATGTTGTTTCACCCACTGCAGTGCCATTGAGTGACGTTAGGGGGCGTGTCCGTCTATTTCCGCCAATAACAGGCGTGGTTTGGAGAGCTGAGATGTCAACAAGGTTTTTTTTTTAACGCTGTTATACACTACTTCGCCTGTAAATCTCAGGCCAATTTGAAATTGAATCTTGACATGTAGCATGGTGATACCATGGTTTGTACCATTGGTAATGTCATGTTTTTTGGGCACATACCTTGATAATACCATGTTTTTTGGGCACATACCATGGTAAAACCATGTCTTTTTTGGCCGTGTGCCATGGTAAAGCTAAGTATTTTGGGCATGCGCCATGGTAAAGCTAAGTATTTTGGGCATGCGCCATGGTAAAGCTAAGTATTTTGGGCATGCGCCATGGAAAAGCAATGTTTTTTGGGCACGCGCCATGGTAATACCATGTTTTTTGGGCACATACCTTGATAATACCATGTTTTTTTTGGGCATGTGCCATGGTAAAGCTAAGTATTTTGGGCATGTGCCATGGAAAAGCAATGTTTTTGGGCACATACCTTGGTAATACCATGTTTTTTGGGCGCGTGCCATGGTAATACCATGTTTTTTGGGCACGTGCCATGCTAAAGCCATGTTTTTGGGCACGCGCCATGCTAATACCATGTTTTTGGGCACGTGCCATGCTAATACCATGTTTTTTGGCATGCACTTTGGTAATACCATGTGTTTTGGGCATATACCATAGTAAAGCTGTGTTTTTTGGGCACGTACCATGGTAAAACTGAATTTTTTTAGGCATATACCTTGGTAAAGCCATGCTTTACATTAGTGTTCTTTGGCGTATGTTTGTAATATCGTTGTATATAAATATTGTAATCATTTAGTCTCATGATGTACATACTCCACGTTCGGACATTCAACGCGCCATGCTAATACCATGTTTTTGGGCACGCGCCATGCTAATACCATGTTTTTTGGCATGCACTTTGGTAATACCATGTGTTTTGGGCATATACCATAGTAAAGCTGTGTTTTTTGGGCACGTACCATGGTAAAACCGAATTTTTTTAGGCATATACCTTGGTAAAGCCATGCTTTACATTAGTGTTCTTTGGCGTATGTTTGTAATACCGTTGTATATAAATATTGTAATCATTTAGTCTCATGATGTACATACTCCACGTTCGGACATTCATGGAAAATATTGGTCAAATGGTGTTGAAATGCTTAGAAATTAAAGTACCTTAGGTTTTACCATTTGCTAGCATCACTGTATCATGCTAATGCATGATTTTTTTTTGTAATGGTATCTACATAAAGTTGTAAAGAAACAGATTGCTTTTAAAGCAGCTTCTCAGAGTATCAACCCTAAAAGCTCCGGAGGAGATGAATGAGGAAAAAGCTGCCGTGTCGCTCACGTCACTGTGAAATGAACACCTTTTTCCTGCTCTTTGAATGTCTTGGCTCGAAGCCATTGTCTGAATTATAAAAAGCAAGGCGGGAAACAATCTCACTCGCTGACGTCGCTCGTTGCAGGTTTGCCGCCATGTGGATCCAGGTGCGCACTATGGATGGCAAGGAGACCCATCGGGTCGACTCCTTGTCCAAGCTCACCAAGGTGGACGAGCTGCGCGTGAAGATCGCAGAGCTCTTCAACATCGAACCCCAGAGGCAGCGACTCTTTTACAGGGGCAAACAGGTGACGTGAGGCATTCATAAGCTGTTTTACTTCTCTAATGTGGGCAGGGATTGGGTTTATCTGGCTTAAAGGGTTAGTTCACCCCAAAATATAAATTCTGTCATTAATTACTCGCCCTCATGTCGTTCCAAACCCGTAAGACCTTCGTTCATCTTCAGAACACAAATTAAGATATTTTTGATAAATGTGAGCGCTCTCAGACTAGGCCTGTCGCAATAATCAATATATCAACTTATCGCGCAATATATGTACTTGACCTCAATAATTTTTGGTGACACAATATATCGCCCATTATATTTACTTAAAAATGTATGTCACCATGTTTTGTGCATTTCACTTGCGCCTGTGTCTTTTGCAGCTTCTCGTACATAACGTGGTGTAGAGGTGCTAGTTTCATCTGCAGATATGGCCTTGTTTAGGGATCTGTGTCTTTGTGCATACGGACATCTGACTGCTAAGTAGTGATTGTGTTTCTCAGCAATAGTGTGCGCCCTTCATTTACAGAGAAAAGAAGGTCAGGGAAAAAGCTGTAGATGGGAAGTCTCCAAAGAGAAAAGTCTTTGTACATTTCTTTTCTTTTTTTCTACTTGTTACTTTACACTTTTTTGTTAGAAAATGTTTATTTACTATTTATTCAGGTTTTTTAAGGTATCTAATATTTTGATACTTAATTTCCATGATCTAAATATTCTTAAAAATTAAAAGTTCTTTGTCATTTGGAAGCGTGTAGACCTTCTTGCATTATTATGCTGTTACATTATGAATATATATTCAGTGGCATAAAATGGTCTTTTAAATGACAATAATATCACTTATCGCAATTATTTCTGGGGCAATATATCGCACAACAAAAAGCTGTTATCATGACAGGCCTATCTCAGACCCTCCATAGACAGCAACACAACTGAAACGTTCCCAGATCCAGAAACGTAGTAAGAACAAGGAAAAAAAAAAAAGTCAGTGTGACATCAGTTGCTCAACTTCAGTTTTGCGAAGCTACGAGAATACCTTTTTGAGCCCAAAGAAAACACAAATAAATTATTTAACAATTCTTCTCCCCTGAGCTACGTCTTCCACCATTTTGGACAGTCCCCCAGAGCGTAATCAGCGTTGTTTATGCTTGCGTATGCGTTGTGATACTCTATAAAATGGCGAAAGACGTAACTCGGGGGAATTGAGAGAATTTTTATTTTTGTTTTCTTTGCGCTCAAAAAGTATTCTCGTAGCTTCGCAAAACTGAAGTTGAGCCACTGATGTCACACGGACTGTTTTACCGATGTCCTTACCATGTTTCTGGACCTGGGAACGTTTCAGTTGCCTTGCTGTCTATGCAGGGTCTGAGAGCTCTCACATTTCATCAGAAATATCTTAATTTGTGTTCCGAAGATGAACGAAGGTCTTACGGGTTTGGAACGACATGAGGGTGAGTAATTAATGACAGAATTTTAATTTTGAGGTGATAAAAAATGAACCATTATTTTGTGTTTTGTTGTTATAAAGTTGTCTTTGGCCTTGATTAGATGGAAGATGGTCACACGCTCTTCGATTATAACGTCGGGTTAAACGACATCGTGCAGCTTCTGGTGCGTCAGGCGACGCTGCCGAAGGACAAAGAGGCCGAGCTGTCCGACTCAGACTCCGGCTGCGGATCGGCCCAGAGCGAGTCGGATAAGAGCTCCACGCACGGCGAGAGCGACGGCCAGAGCGCCGGGACCTCGGGCCAGACCGACACGCTGGACCTCATCGACCCTGGCTTTGGCTTTTACAAGGTGACAAAACCATTGATTTATTAGAAACCGTGTCACGTCCGATAGACAAATTGAGTTAAAAATTGTCGATTTCACTATAAACATCTCGTTGGCCTCAAGTGATTTCAATTATATAATAAACAAGTTCATTTCAATTAGCTTTTCTCTATTGGTACATTTGTGTAAATTGGTTAAGCATTTGTAAAACCTTGTTTTTTTTTGTTGTTGCAAGAACTAATGTTTGTAAAATCACTTTGTACATAAGTTGTCACGTTAATTGCACATTAAACTATTCTTGCGCAAATTGTTGCATTCAGTGAGCATATTATAAATTGATTCCACTATAAACATCTTGTTCGTCTCTTGTATTTCTAAATGATCTACAAACGTAATGGTGTAATGAACAAACTTTTTTTTTGTAATAGTGAATGTTTTGTTTGTAATCTAAATATATTAGATATTTATACGTATATCAACAAAGCGTAACAAACACTTTGTAAAATGAATAAATCATTTTAATATTGTGGTTTTTACAGTTAAGTTTTGTTTGTTATATTTACAAGTATACAGTGCATTTAAGAGACGCTTTTATCCAAAGTGATTTACAAAAAAGAAACGAAAGCAATTTTTCTGTATTTAAATATTTTAAAGATATTTAAATTGTGTGTTTTGTTACACTAGGCTCTAAAATAATTTCTATATTGTCATCGTAAAGCGTTTGTAAAACCATTCTAATGTATCCAAACTAATGTTTAATGTTTGTGAAGTCACTTTTTACACAGTTGTTTCGTTCACTTAACAAAAAAAGCAAATGCGACAACTTACATAATGACTTAATTGCTCAAACTTAATTTTTTTTGCAGATTGTTGCATTCGATTTGCATCATATCGATTCCACTACAAACGTCTTGCTGGCTTTTTTTCCTATTAGTTAGTAAATGTAATTTGTAAACTTTTTTTCCAGATAAATGAGTTTGTGGACGCTCGAGACTTAAACATGGGTGCCTGGTTCGAGGCGCAGATCATTAATGTGGCAAAAACAACAAAGTGTTCGGATGAAGACGGAGGCACTGATGGGGAAGAGGAGATCATTTACCACGTCAAATACGAAGAGTGAGTCTAAATGTTTAGTTACTGTACGTATCACGCTGATCCTGATTGTGAACCTTCTGCTCCGATGCAAAAGAATCATATTTGACCTCAGTTGTGAGTGCGAGTTTACTGTCTAAATTAATGCTGGGTGGTATGACCAAAAATGTATATCACGGTATTTTTCTAAATTATACCGGTTTCACGGTACATGACGGTATTTTTTTTTTTTAATGCTTGACCGGGTGTTAACCATATCTTCTACTGATTGAGAGGAAATACTGCAGTATATTGACTTATAATGCTCTATTTTACTGTCATGATGAGTGAATATTGTCAAAAAATACCACACTAAATACTGACTAAACACGACCCCTTTTAATACATGTTAACCAGGAGTCACTCTCATTTATAATCACGGCATCGTCTGATAAACTCAACATGCATCTACACTAAAGAGCGGCTATGCGGTGGTTTTGGCTAGATTACTCTTTTGTCTCGTGCAGCGCACTGCCTGCATCTGAGTAACAAACTAAAAACAACAACACAAAAAAGTGCATGTGATATTAACAGACGAACTACGCTCATATTTCTAATTCCAAACCATCAGTAAGCGGCAGGTGCTAGGAAACACTGTTTTGTACTAATTTATTGAGGAGTCGGCTGCGGTGCTTCTCTGCCGCTCACTGCACAGAACAGACACCGAA